TTCTACCTTCCCCTGCCTGCTCACCTGAGGAATTCCCCTCAGTGACACCAAAGAAGCCCTTGGGAAAGCAACAGTGAGAATTTCTTGGAAAGGAAGCCAGGTATAGAGGTCTAGAGACAATAGCAGCCTGCAGTGACTGAAGGCCTCCTGGGGTGGGGGGACTATGGGTGTCGCTCAGGGTCAGAGCAGGCAGCCCAGCAAGCCCTGAAAAATAAGTCTACCAAATCAAGGCTTGGGGAGCTGCCCAGAATGTAGCTAGTTCCAGTCCCTTCCAGGCATGAGGTCCATTCATACCCCCTCACCCCATCTCTAGTTACCACCTTCCTTGTCCATCTGGTGTCGGGACGAAGCTCACTCAGTGCACCAAGGTTCAAAGTTCTAAAGGGGATTTCCTTCCAAGCCCTCAATCGCTCAACTGCAAGCAACACAAAGTGTCCCCGGCCTGGCAGCCTGCTCCTGCAGCCAGAGCCTGGGAGGGGGCACTGAGCCTGAGCCCTGGGTTTCTTCCAAAGCCGGGACACTCAGGCACCGCCCTGACTCTCCCAGTGCAGCCCCTGGCTCGGTGCTGCCCCCGCCATGCCCCAGACTGCGGCTGCTGTGGCCCTGCATCCATCTTCCCGGCCAGCGACTCCCTGCCACAACAGGGCCAAGTGACTGTGGCATTTGCTTCTGATCTCCCCTGGCCAAGCGCTTGTAAGGCAGTCAGTGAAGAAAGAACAGGTGCTTGGTGAGACACAGATTAAACCGCCCCCCTCCCCATCCAGAGGCCCCTGCTGATCTGTAGTTCAGCGCTTAGCTGCCTGGGCCACGGGTCAACAAGGAAGTGATTCATCTCCCTGCCTGCTGCCCAGGAGCAGGAAGAGAAGGCCTAGGGGAAGACTCAACACCTCCCTGCCCTGGGCCCTTCTTGAGCACAGCAACCCCAGCCCCACCGCACTCCACCCCACCCCCGTGCCCGGGGAGTCTGCACCCTTCGCTAGAGGTAGGACCAGCAGAGATACTCAGGGTGGGTTCCTTGGGGGCCACCTCCTTGCCCCTTGAACCAGAAAGAGTTCAGGATTGCTGGAGTGTGGCAGGGTGGGGATCTCCCCTAAGGTCCCAAAACATTTAGAAAAATCGGAGGCCCATGCCAGATCTCACTCTGGACAGAGCAGCCTGCAGGAGCCAGAGATCATCCAGTCCCAGCCTGTAGTTCCTCTCATCGGCAAACCAAGTCCAAGAAGGAGAGGCCCTGCCCCAGGCCACCCAGCCAGGGAGTGCCAGCCAGAACCGAGAGAAGACCTCCTGCTCCAGCGCCCACTAGGTTCTCTCTCTGCCCTCCCTGTGAGTTCCTCACCCCCGGAGCTAGGCAGAAGCTGGGGGGCGGGGTTGGGCAGTGGGCTCTCAAGCTCAGGATGGGGCAGGGCTGGCTGCTGGGCCCACCAGCTAATGATTCTGCCCCTGCCCCCCAAGGCCTCGTGCCTGGCTCTTCCTGTCCCTGGATGCTGCGAGGAACGGCCAGGGCCCTGCTGGCTCAGGCAAAGCCTCTTGGCCCCACTGCCCAAGGCCAGCACCTTTGGATCTTTGGAGCCTTGACAGCACTTTCTCAGGGGGCTGGGTGAGGCTGCCGCTGGTGCAGGGCAGAGCTGCCCGCCCCCTCCCCAGACCATGCAGGCAAGTCGAGTGTCCCTTGGGCCCTCAACAGTTCCCCCTGCCTGCTGTCCCCTGCCCGACTTAGGCATGCTCTTCAACGAGGCTGGGACCTTTATCTTCAGCTCCACATGACGTTCCCCTGTGGACAGGCGACAACCACCGATGCCCCCTCATTCAGCCAGACTCTGCAGCTGGGCCTGATTGAGAAGAGCTCCGCAGGCAGCTGACCTCTTTCCCTTCCCACCCCACAGACGTCGCTGCTCATGGGTTCTGCCCATAGCCTTGGTTCACTCAAACTCCAGAGTTAGAGGCTTCCTGGTCACCCCAGGTTCTGGGGAAATGTGCAGATCATCTATGGTCTCTGCCTTCTGGAAGGAGTGAAGGCTCAAGACCCCACAGCCACGAATGGCCCCAGAGCGGGGCAAGTGCTGTACCTGGGGGACGTGCAAGCGGAGTGAGAAGAGCTCGCGGCTTTCCCGGGAAAGGCCACGGGACAGACCACGCAGGGGCCCCTCCCCCTGCAAAGGTGAGTTGAAAGCTCCGCGAAAGGGCTCTGGGAATCAGCCGCACGCTCCCCCCGGTGGCCACGGGGAGAACTGCGCCCTCAGACCGAGGCTGTTGCGTGGAAGCTGTGTGGTTGAGAGTGAGTGGTCCAATCGCCTCCCGGACCGGGCTGTTCTTTGTGACTTAATAGCGGTCTGCAATGTGAAAAATCCCAAAGTGAAGTGAAAGTTCAGCCACTCCCAGCCCCTGTGACCTTCCTGGAGAGGGAGGGGAAAATGTTCACGAGAGTCCTGGCTAGGGAGCAGGTCCCAGAGCCCAGAATGTCACCCGAGCAGGGGTTTGTCGAGCGTCCGCCTGCATGCGCCCACCCCAAGGTTCATATGCAACAGGTCCGGGGGGCTCTGGGTATCAGGTGGACCCGGTGAAGCCTCACGTCTCACAAGGAGGGAGGCTTGCGGCAGGGTTAGAGGGGAAGTGGCTCAGGCGGGATCCCGTCCTCTCCAGAGTGGCTGGGATTCCCCTCCGCGTGGGGCAGGCTCAATAGAACATTCTAGAATCATGACTCCCCTCCACTTCTCTTACTTCTCCCCAAGTGGACCACAGGCTTGGAATACCCCTCTTGCTATCTGCCTTGCTGCTACACCCAAGAGGCTTTGGGGAGCCCACCCCCTCCAGAAAGCCCCCTGGCCGCACCTGGCCCATTCTCGCACGTTTCTCCCACCGTCGTGGAAGAGCTCAAGTGTGTGCCCCTGTCTCCTGCATGGAAATGCTGAATCCTACTTCAGGGTTTGGCCCAACACGTTTTACTTGTCACCAATGAGCCAGCATTCAGAGTGGGGAGTCACGAGGACCGTGGTGCTGAGCTGCAAGCTGCCAGGCCCTCCCCTGTGTGGCTGCTGGTCTCCTCTGCGGCTTCTCCCCCAACCGCAGCCCTTCTCGTTCCCCACAGCTCTCCAAGCCACAGGCGGGAGTGGGGAGTCCGCCTTCCCCCACCCTCCCCGGGTGTCCGTGTGGTGGGAGGAGCCTGCAGCGGGAGCCAGAGAGCTGGGCTCTAGCTCTGGCCTGGCGAGGCCTGGCCATGTCACCCTGGACAAGTCACTGCTTCCCTTGAGGCCTCGGTTTCCCCTTTTGCAAACTGAAGCTTGTCTATTTTGCTCTCTAAGGACCCTCACTGCTCAAGCCTTCTGTGATTCTGTGAAGGTCGGTGGTCTTCGGGCCCTGGGGGCCGTGGATTAAGACAAAGAGCCTAATTCCCAAGCGGAATGGTGATCCCCCCTATTCATTCTGAACTCCAGCAACTTGCTGCAGTCACTGGTTCTCCTGCCAGATCTCCCCTGCCCTCCCTGGGAAGCTTGCAGACCTGGATGAGGAAAGCAGACACTAGATGGTGCCACGATCCCACCATCCCTCCAGCCTCCTCGGAGGGAAAGGGAAGATGGGCTCTGTCCTGAAAGCAGAAACTCCCAGATGGGCCAGGCTGCAAGGCCTCGGGCCTCACGAAGAACAGGGCATTAGGAAGTTGGGCATTGATGGGAGAAGCAGCTTGATAGCATCTCAGACTGGGGCTGCCCTGGGCAGGCTGCTGGCTGCACGGCAGGGCCTAGGAGCAAACGGAACAATGGTCTCACCCTCGTTGCCTACTCCCTGGTCCCTGGCCCTGGGCTTAACAAAACCAGCACCCAAATAGGTGAATGACTGTGGGTCCATCCGGGGTTCCTTGGCCCCAAGAATGGAAAGGGGGCCTGAGCTTAGTACCAGAAAGCGGAGAGGGAGAGGGCCGGTTTCCTTGGAGCATGTGCTGGGGCCCTACACCAGCCCCCCAGGCCTACCTACCCTGGCCCAGTGGTGTGCTTGGGGGAAATGGCAGAGCACACGAATGTGGCCACCAACAGGTGCAACGCTGGCAGCCCAGGGCGTCTTTGCAGCAACTCCTATGCAAGGTCGCAGCAAGGCTTCCAACAGCAGCGCCCAGTGCCCGGGGCACAGACCCAACAACTTTGAACATGTTGTAACAGAGGGAATGGCCTGGAAAAAAAAACGGCAAAGAGATTTTCTGTCGCCTTAAAACTTCCCCCGCTCTTTTTGGAAACTGCAGCCTGGTCTGCCTCCCTGAGGCAGGCTAAGTCTTTTGTTGAAACTCCCAGGTGGTGCCAGCCCCCCAGGGGGGCAGCTGGTGGAGTTCACAGGCTTTGTCTTTGGTGGAGATGGGAGGATTAGAATAGTTAACCATAGTAATTGCCTGAAGCCCAGAACCCTCCCTTTGAAAGCTCTGTATTTCTGCCTGTGTTTGGGAAATTTGGAATTTTGACCCCAGACGCTCTACCATTTTTCCTCCTTTACAAAGTAAACTCTCTTTCCTTCCTCCTCAAACTGCTTGTCCTCATTCTTCTGACTCAGCCTCGTGGACAAGTGGCCGAGCTTTTGGTAACAATGTGGGCTTCCAGACGTGCCCCAGATATTTGGAAACCAGGCTGAGGTCTCTGTCCCCAGGGTGCCTGTCAACTCGGGGGGCGAAGAGTGGCCTACGGATGACAGTACTGAACTTCTTGCTTTTATAGGCAGCAGGTGCCCAGGCAATGAATTGACAAACAAATGAGACCAGGCAGTATTTGTACTCCAACTTGGAGAAGTGGATCGTGACAATTGTGGGAGGGAGGGAAGGAGGGAGGCAGGTCAGGGAAGGAGCCATCTCTGAAGCCGGTTTTATTATGAGCACGAGGTGGCACAAGGGAGGAGGCGGCAAGGCCCACCCAGGGTCACATTGAGCCTGGCACTTCCTTCAGCCTGAGCGCTGGCAGTGATGGGGACAAAGGTCCAGAGCCCAGGGAAGACAGGAAGACACCGAAGACCGGCCTCCTTGGCTTCCCAGCCAGCCCCAGTGCCGTGGGTGGGCACAGCTCACTCTGAAAAGACAAAAGCAGGATGTGGGCTGGGCGGTGGCAGCAGAGGCTGGGGTTTTTGTTCCCTCCCAGTCCGTCCCCAGGGCTCCCCCGCAAACTCCTGTATCATATACTCCAAGCCAGGCCCTTGGCTATCACCATAAAACACATGATGGGTCGATGGGTGCCAGGCCACCTGGCTGATGCCTGGATGACCCTAAAATTCTCCCCTGCCCGGTCAAAGAGTCGAGCTCTTCCTGTCGCTCCCCAGCCTGCCCTGCCCGCCCCCTCCCCATGCCTCCAAATGTACCTGCTGTTACAGGTCGTCTTCATTGACTTGCCTGCGTGGGGGAAGGAACAGACAGGTAAGAGGGCAGGGGGAGGGGTAAGTCCAGGGGTCCCTGAGGTTGGGGACCCCTCCACTGCAAAGGCAGAGGCAGCGGCAGAGACAAACTCCTGGCCCACCCCTCCTCTCCCCAGCCCCCTCCCGCCTCATCGGCAGCCTCACTCACCTGCGCTGCTTATTGCCCCCGCAGCGGAATCTTCTGCCTTGAAAAGGGAAAAGGAGGTTTGTTACTTCAACCTCTCATTTTCCAAGGAGACCCTGGAAGACTCACCTCTTCCAGTTTCTCCTCCCTCCTTCCTGCAGAATCACCACCATATTGGTTTGGAGGCCACCACATTTGATCCTGTCTCTCTTTACATAGGGTGGACCACAAGCGTTCGAGAGCCTAAGTCAGTCAGTCAACAAACACTCACTGCAGCAGATCCGTGGTGGACTGTGAGTACATTGAGAGCAGCGGCTGAGATTGGGCCATCATGGTGCCCCCAGCACTGTGCTGGGCACACAGTAGCTGTTCAGTAAACACTTGGAGAAGGAGGGCAGTAAGTTCAAAGCTGAGATCCTTGCTTGGGCCCCTCTGCCTCCTATACCTGTGTGCTCAACCACTGCCCGGCACTGCCCTCGAGTGGCTCGCAACAAGCAAATCAGGAGACCAGCTGTACCTGCAGCAGGAAGCCTTCAGATGGAATGGCAGAGCCTGTGATGTGTTAGAATTCCAGAACACAGAGGTAGGCTTGCTGCGTAATGTCTTCTTTTTATTGGCTGTGTTTCTGTGTATTTTGTTTTTTTTTGGTTGCACCAAAACAAGTCAACGAGTATTTATTAAACTTCTCCTATGTGCCTGCTAGGGCTGGAGCATATACAAGGACCCTTCTTTCCTGCAGAACACCCCGTATCTACACTGGACCCTTCTAAAAGTACTTTCTTGACCGCTAGACCTAATCTTGTGAGGCAGGTGAGATCGTCCCTATTTAACAGATGAGCAAACTGAGGCCCAGGGAGTTCGGGATCCACAGCAAGTTAGCAGTGGGCCCCCAGGAGCTGGCTCCCAGCCACGCTTGCTTTCCAGCAGCGGGGAGCCGGGTGCTCCTGGGCTCAGCTGAACCCAGCTCTGCTTCTCGTGGGCTGTGGAACCCTGGGCAAGTTGCTGCACCTCTCAGGGTGGTTGTGATTTTTCATCTGTAAAATGCTGACAGTACTGGCATCCCCCAGTGCTGCTGGGAAGATTAAATGGGATAAGCTGTAGCTCAAGCCTCAGAGAGTGCCCAGGTCACGGCGGGTGCCCAGCTCCCCTCGCCTGGCCCTCCTGTTCACCCTGCAGGGTTCCAGGATCAGGAGCCCGCGCTCCCATCACGGCAGCTCCTCCTGGGTCCACTAGAGGGTGCGCTGGAGGAAGAGGGCACCTCACGCCGTGGTCCCAGGTCCAAGTGGCCTGGCATCCCGCTTGGCAACCACTCCCCACCTCCTGGGGGGTGGGGCACAGGAGAGACCCACCCCTCCCTTGGGGGCTCTGGGAAGCCAGTGTGCTCAGTGGCTTTGAGAAGAGATGTACCCCCCACGCAGTGCCCCCTTCTAGCATGAGGTCTCCCCACTTACTGAGTATGATGAGGAGCCCCACGATGAAGGCCAAGCCCGCGAAGATCAGGCCCCCATTTCGGACAGTCTCATAGTCTTGGGAAAAAGAGGGCAAGAGAAGTGGGATGGGCGGTCCCCCTGGCAGGAGCCCCGCGGTAACCAGGGGAGGTGGGGACACATCACACAGGCCCAGGGCTGGAGGAGGCCAGGAACCGGCTGCCTGGGGATGGGGGGGGCATGAGGCTCAGGAAGGGGGGGCCAGCAGTCTTACCATAGTAGAAGGGGTCCACATCCCCCTTGGGGCTGCCGCCTGAGGAGAGAGCCAGAGGTGGCATGAGGGGAGGTCACAGAGGGCAGGCCGGCCACAGGAGCAGTTGGGATCCCCAGTCCTTCCCTTGCCAGTGGACCCCAAGGGTCCCAGTGGACCCCAAGGGCAGCCGGTGGGCCTACTAAAACCGCTGCGGGTGGGGGCATGTGCCCCAGGCTGCTTCAGGCAGTCCCCTGGGGACCAAACACCAAGCACGCAAAGGGGGCCCTGCAGCTCTGGGAGGGGTTAGTTCTCTCTGCTCCTCACTTCATACCGCAGTAGGAAAAGGCCAAGAAAGACACTTCCGTTAGGCTTGCCAGCAGCCGCTCTTCCGAGAACTGATCAGCTACAGGTGCTTGGCCAACATTTGTGACATGAATGAAGGAATAAAATAGAACCTTAAGGTTCATTGAACAGAAGTTGGAAACCAAGGCCCAGATTGGAGACTTATCCAAAGTCTTAATGGAAGTTAAAGGCAGAACTGGGTCTTGACTTGAGTTTCTAGACTTTGCTCTCCTTTGTTACTATCCTCAGGGGGAAGCAAATTTATTTGAGAAACAATATATTAGTGCTTGCCCAGGGCCAGACTACAGCTAACAAAATGCTGACTCATTTAATCATCATAAAAATTTTATGAGGCACTAATATTATTCCTATATAATCCATGATAAGATGGCAGCACAGAGAGGTCAAGTAACTCACCCACAGTTGCACAGCAATTAAGGGGTAGAGCTGGGATTTGAAATCAGGCGCTAGGTGGCTAAGAATCTAGATGCTTAAGGCCCTTGCTATACTGCCTCTTGGATAGTAGGAAGGAAGGAGACCGTTCAAGTCAAGGTCATCCGGTCATCTAGTCCTGTCCCTGCCTCCCCCCACCCAGGGGTGGGCTGCCCAGCAGCCAGCAGATCTCACAGTCGTGCCCTCCAGCCCTGGAGCTGAGGCCACTTGCCTGTGGGCCGCTGTAAGGTGGCCTGGCCAGGGCTTTTCTGACACAGCTGAGGGCTGCCCCTCTTTCCTGCCCTGTTTGAGCCCCTTCCTGGCACCAGGGAAGTGGTGCCCGAGGCCAAAGGAATGTGCAAGTCGGCACCTCCCGGGCTGTGCCGAACTGTGCCCCCAGTGGGAGGCCTCAGGGCCTAGTGAGCCCAACCGTCCCCAGCAGCCCGTCCTGAGGCCAGGAGAAAACAGGCCAGGGGGGCCAGTGCCTGCTCCTGCAGGGCTTCAGGTGCTGCTTGCTCAGGAAGGCCAGAGGCCAAGGAGGGGACATGAGGAGCGCCAGGACCCTGTCCCCATGCAAAAGGCCTTCAAAGTTGCCTTCTCAGATTCAGTTCAGATCTTGTTCAAGGTCACATGGAGAGTTAGTGTCAGAACCATGGCTAGGCCCAAGCCAGGACTCCCTTTAGCACCCCAGGAAACCGGCTGCTCCCTGACCGCCTTGTCTTGAGCCATCTGATGAGCCCCGCCCCCACCGACCCCCTCCCCTTTTCTAGATCTGCTCAAAACCTACCTCAGTCAGCAGATGCCCCATTGGCCTCCAGGTCTGAGTCATCCCCCATCACAGGACGCCTTTGGGGAGTATATCCTGAACCCCAATCCATCCTGGGAGGGATTTGCTCCTGCTTCAGCCAGACAGACCCCCTCCTCCTGCACTGAGTTCAGATGGTCTAGCGAGATGCGCTGAACCAGGCAGGAGCGTGCCAGAAAGACATGGACGGAAGCTCAGCCCACCAGCTTTGACCCGCAGCCCAAGTTCTGCCGTTCAAGCTATAATTCTTCGGGGGTAAGGCAGGGTCCTGTCTTAAGGTGCAAATTGTCTTAGAGAAGAGGCTGGCACATAGAGGGGGCTGGGTGTTCTGGAAGGCAGAGGTGGAAGGAGAGGGAAGAGAGGGGTCCAGCTCACCCCTCCAAAGGTGGGCCAAGCAGAGCCACCTGCCGTGCACACACACATGCACACACACTCACACTCACCGTCGTCTGTGGACAGCCCTGCCATTTCCTCAGCCAGCCGCCCTCGTCCTGCTGCCTCTGCTTCGGGGAGACTATCTAGCCGTGGGGTGGCCAGGGACAAGGTGGGGGCATTAAACATTAACAGTGCCAGGTAATATTTACCCTGGTCACAAGAAAAGCCTTGGTGTGGACAGAGGGGCTCCCACTGAGGCATGAGGAGGTGTGCGGGGAGGCAGGGGCAGGGAGGAGCTGGCTGAGTTTTCAAACTGTCCCAAAGGAAATTTCCAAAGAGCAGGGCTGGGGATGGGTCAACACTGGTGTTCCTCCCCCGGCTGCAGAAGCCACAGCTGGGGCCATGGGGACGGGGAAGCGGAAGTTTAGAAACACTTTCCATGTATATTGTACTTGGGAGCAGGCGGGGCAAAGTCAGGGTCCCACAGAGACGTCCAGCCCAGCTGTGCCCACAGCACCAGCCCCCACGGACGCTGCCTCTGCAGCTGACGCTTCTTGCCTTGCACACGAGGCTCCCCTGAGGTGGTCCTAAGGAGCCTGGCCCGTCCCCCTCCTACCGCACCCCTTGAGGACCGCCCAAGCCACCAGCACGTTCGTCCTCCACGTCTCTGCTGCCCAGGAAGGTCCTTTCCTGTGTTATCTTATCCATCCATCAAGGTGCACCTAGCAGCTCACACCTCAATCAGAAGGGCTCCAGCCATCCCCAACTAATCTCTCCTTCTCTGCTGCCCCTGGCACTTCCTCCTGCAGCCATTTGGCCAGCTCTCGAGCTGTTTCCGTGCCAATGTTCCACAGTGTGCAGCAGGCTCCTTACGGAGCAAGAACCATCATGGGGGGATGCTCTGCTTTTATGGTATCCAAAGACTTTCCTCACTGTTAACTCCCTGAGCGTTGTATTAGTTCCCCACATTACAGATGAGGTCCGTGAGGCACAGAGAGATGGCCGGCCTTGCCCAAGGTCACACAGCCAGTGAGGGGCAAGGTAGAGACTGACAGTCAGGCCTCTGGCTTCAGGAGTCAGGTGCTTTCTCCTACCTCCCAGGAGACCTCCCCACGCCACTGTGACCTCCTTCACCTTGGGGACTCCGGTGCCAGCTACTTTGTGGGTACTGCAAAGTCCTCATTGAGTTCTAGTCCATTGACTTGGCTTCCAGAAGAGGCTGATGCCCAACGGTAGCCAAAGAGCCAAGGCCAGTGGTCAGTGTCCACCGGGGGTGGTTCCCTTCCAAAGGGAATCACTTCATCTGTGAATCCTCCTCAAGCACTGGCAGGGATCGACATTCGACTCCACACCCTGGCTCCTTCACTTGCTAATCATATGGCCTCTGTCAATTACCTAACCTCTCTGCATCTCAGTCTCCTCATCTGTGAAATGGGCACAGTACCCCTCTCCTAGAGTTGCTATGAAGAATGAGGTGATGCACATGAAGATTGTAGCATGGGGCCTGGCAACAGTAAGCATCATTTTTGTTACTCTTACATTTGCATTTATTGGAGAAATAACAGGCATTAGCCTTTTGTTGAACGTCAGCTGTTGAACACAAAAAAGCCATCCACCCTCTCATGCAAACGAGCATGAATGAGTGAGATGGAGAGAGAGAACGCCATGGCCCTGCAGACCAGGAGCAGCAACACCTGTTCAGCTCCCTTCTGCTTCTGAAAATATCACCGCAGAGCTAACGTTTGGTAAAGGTGGGCCCCGGGCCAGGCTCTTTGTGTGCACTGCCCCCAGTGAATCCTTGTTAGCCCCATTTTACAGGTAAGGACACTGAGGCTGTTCTTTGCTTCTGACAACAACCCCAGGAGGTGGCCGGGGCAGGGCCATGATCCCCACTGGGCACACCAGAAAAATTGAGGGCAGGGAGGTGCTTGGACTTACCTGAAACACACAGTTCATGGCAAATTAGAGCCAGAAAGCCCAGATTCTCAAGGTCGTGCTACTAAATCTCCTACCACTCTCTACACAAGACAATGGTGCCCCCTTCGCTATACATTATTATGCTATGGTATTGTATCCCATCTACTTTTGTAAGTCACCGTGCATTCTTTCCGAAATAATAAGATGTAAAAACAGTCAGGAAGTTAGATAGATGATTGATAGATATGGCTGATAGATCAATCAATAGATAGATGGGTAATAGGAGGCGCTAGAGAAAGCAAGTTGACAGCTGCATTTTTGAACTTTGTGTGCAAGGTGCTGTTCCAAGCTCTTTATAGAAATTAACTCTTTCTTCACCACAGCGGCCCTATAAGGTAAGGAATGCATTATTATCACCCCCATTTTATGGAGGAAGAAATTGAGGCACGGAGAAGTTGAATAACTTGCCAGAGGTCAGGCAGCTAAGAAGTGGGGGAACCAAGATTTGAAGCCAGCAGTCTGGCTTCAGAGCTCCTGCAGGTGGATGGGGGGACAGACAGGCGGATGAGGAGGCTGCTGGCCAAGCTATCTTCCCAGCTCCTGCAGCTCAGAGACGCCCTGTGCACATGCCACCGCAAGCCTGCGACTCTGTACTGACGAGCCCTTGTCGGGAAATTCTGCCTCTGCTCATTTCTGCTTTTCCTGCACTCCTGGGGAGCTGGTGGGTCCACTTGAAGGTGACAGGATGGACATCAGAGTCTGAGAAGGGGGAGGAATGGGACGCAGGGCACTCACCCAGGTACCACCTGTCCATGGCAGGAGCTGCTGGCTGTGTCTGCGAGTGCCAGAGAGCCGTGAAGTGTCGCTTGCCCAGGACCTGGACAGAAAGAGTGGCGCTCCCTCCCTCCACAGGTCAGCTGAGCCCACGGACAGGAAGAGACACAGGCAGGGAGGAGGGGCTGGCAAGGGAGCCCTTACCTGGCACCCACCTGCTGGGGCGGGCTGAGGCAAGGGATCCACGTGAGAGCCAGGGAGAGTCTCTGACCTCCACCTGGCACCTGGGGGAGGGGACGCAGCCCCTCACAGCCCCTCTCCCCGCTAGGGCACCATGCTGCAGCCAGCACCCTGCAGGCCACCCAGGGGGCCGGAGAGTGCTGCCAGGAGCCAGCAGGGCACTGGCCAGGGCAGAAGCAGAGCCCCCCACGCTCCAGCAG